TTTTTTTTTTTTTAAGACGGGGTTTCACCATGTTGGTCAGGCTGGTCTTGAACTCCCGACCTCAGGTGATCCACCTGCCTTGGCCTCCAAAGTGCTTGGATTACAGGCGTGAGCCACCAAGCCCGGCTCTCACCCATATTTTACCTCCCTTCTTGGGATAGTGAAACAGGAGGAAACGGGAGGAAGTAAGGCCTGCAGGGGTCAGCAAAACCCACAGCAATAGGCCTAGCCACTAACTAAGTCCCAGGTTGCAGGGGTAAATGCCAAGGCAGGCTGAAAGGGTTGCCCAGGGGTCCCAAAACCTGGCTTGCTCCACGCCAGACCTTATGCAAGGCTGGGACCATGTCGGCAAGCACCCTGTCAGCTTTATGTTAGTCAGAGGTTCAATCCAGGCCAAAGAGGGTGTGCTGAGGCGGGCTGCCATGTATTTCTCCATCTGCACATGAACACCACCTTCTCTCCACAGGCCTTGGGCCTGAGAACAGCCTCTGAAACACTGGGGATTCCACAGGACAAACAGAAATGGGATAGAGGTTGAGAGTTGAGAGGGTGGCAGGAGGGGAGGGGGCACCAGGGCTGGGGGTGGGAGTGGGGCTAAGCTTGGCCCAAGCCCCCGTGACTCCTACTGGGTTCTCTGAATACAGCCTCTGCCTGATCCTACCTTGGGAGAAGAATCTATTCATCCTGTCACCAAGTGTTGCTGGACACTTTTGTGCCAAGCAGTGCATGCCAGGACTGTAGAAATGGCTCACATAGCTCTTGACCTCAAGAACTTAGAGATGGGAGACACAGAGAGGGAAGGAGGTAGGAGATGTTGAATTTTTTCCTCAGGAGCTGGCAAATGAACTTTGTAAAGGATGAATAGAAGTTAAACAGAGCTGGAAAGGACATTTCAGTTCAGAGGTCCCTAGGCACTTCGGTGGAAGGGTTTCACTAGAATAAAGGGCTAAAAGAAGGGTAGGGCCTTAGGGCACAGTAAGAGCTTCTGATGGTTCAGTTGTAGTACCAGCTGTGGAGACCACCTCAGGAAGTTACTGTGCTCTCTTGCAAGATGTAGTGCTTTGTGCTTCGAATGATTGACCAAATCCGAGGCTATTTATTTCACAGCCAGAAAACAAGGCCAGAAACCCTGAAGTAAAGTGTGGTGGGTGACATCTTCAATGAAAATCCAAACAACTGACTCTCATATATGACCGCTTCATGTCTGGAGATCCCTAAGGCCTGCTGTTCTAAAACCATGACTCCGGGTGCCAATGACAGGTCCGTTGCATCATAAACAGAAATTGCCTGATCCTTGGCCACGTGGACTATCTCATATGATAAGGAAAACAGGCACAAAAGTGGGCTATGGTGTTGGCAAGTGCGCCACTGGGGGTCCTAGTTACAAACAACAGAAACCAATGCTGGTTTAATAGAATCAGGAAAGTTTTATTAGAAAGCTATAGAAGAGCTTGGGGAATTGTCAGAGAGGCTGGAGAATCAGAAACTGGCAGGAGCAAGGGAACTAGGCAGCCAAGGACACAGCCACATTCTGCCATAGGAACTACTGGCCACCAGCACTGTCAGCACGGGACTCACACCACTGTCGCCCCCCATACCACTGCTGCTGCCGCCCCTGCTGCCACCACCATCATCACCACAGCAGCGTGAGGACAAATGCTTCAGGACCCCTGCTCCTCTGACTTTCTCCCTCCAGCCTTAAAGTACTGGGCACGAGTGTATGATGGGCCTAGTTGACATCCCAGGTTCAAGTCGCAGCTGCTCAGGGCCCCAGGAGCACAGGTCTTGGGGCTGTGGCTTTCCTGGTAGAGCACGCTTCAAGTCCACGGAGACACTGGAGTGGCATGTTGCTCCAACACCAGCAGGGGGCTTTGGGTGCCGAGTAGGTATCCTTTTCTGTGCTTAGACTAATTCTGACTAAAAGGCAAATTAGGATCGCTGCTATGCAATAGCAACAGAAAGGAAGGTCATTAGGACCCAAGCGTGCTCCTAAAATACCTCCTTACGTGGTGCCAGTCTGAGCACAGCAAAAGTTAATGGCAAACCTCCAAAACCCCACCCTAAAAGGGATCTCCAAGGACTCAGACTCCTGAGCCTCCAAAACCAGCTGAGGTGCTGGCTGAAGGCCAAGGGGAAACCTAGAATGACTTGTGAGGGATGAAGTCATAAATATCAGCTTGACCAGTTGCAGAAAAAAGAGCTGCGGTTTTGACCCACATTTCTGTGCTTGCAGTGAGAGAAGAATGACATCTTGCTTTTCTTTTCTTTTTTTCTTTTTTTTTTTTTTTTGAGACAGAGTCTCACTCTGTTGCCAGGCTGGAGTGCAGTGGCCTGATCTTGGCTCACTGCAACCTCCACCTCCCAGTTTTTAAGCGATTCTCCTGCCTCAGCCTCCCGAGTAGCTGGGATTACAGGTGCGTACCACCACTCCCAGCTAATTTTTGTATTTTTAGTAGAGGTGGGGTTTCACCATGTTGGCCAGGATGGTCTCGATCTCTTGACCTTGTGATCTACTCGCCTCGGCCTCCCAAAGTGCTGGGATTACAGGCATGCTCCACCGTGCCCGGCCTCACTTTTTCTAAATTGGAAAATTCTTTGGTTTTGCTCGTTATAATAATGTTCATGAAAACGCACTGAGACTGTAAAAAATATCAAGGAAATTCATGATTTCAGGTGAAAAACAAAAGTGTCCTTCCTCACTGCTTTCCCCCAATCCTCTGTCCCTCCCCAGAGGGAACCTCTGCCATCAGGCATGTCGCCTTCCAGATATTCTTAGCCATTTTCATATAAAGTTTGTTTTTGTAAGGTTTTATTTTACACAGACACCATACATGTTGCTCTACACTATGCTTTCTTTATTTAACACTGTCTTGGAGACCTTTTCATATCAGTACCTCCAACTTTTAACTGCTGCATAGTCTTAATTCTACACTAGCAAAGAACCCAGGTTGGGGTGAAGGACATGTACCACTTGAATATGTTGATAGCTAGCTACTACCCAAACTATTCTCCAAAAAGGCCACTATAGTTTATATGCACACCAACTGCATGAGTCTTCTCATTTCATCTCTTCCTAGCCCAAACTAGATATTATCATGAAGAAAAACTATTGCTTTCTAGGCCGGGTGTGGTGGCTCACTCCCGTAATCCCAGCACTTTGGGAGGCCGAGGCAGGCAGATCACCTGGGGATGGGAGCTCAAGACCAGCCTCACCAACACGGAGAAACCCCGTTTCTAATAAAGAAAAAAAATATATACAACATTAGTGGGGCGTGGTGGCGCCTGCCTGTAATCCCAGCTACTTGGGAGGCTGAGGCAGGAGAATCACTTGAACCTGGGAGGTGGACATTGGGGTGAGCCAAGATCGTGCCACTGAACTCCAGCCTGGGCAACAAGAGCGAAACTCCATCTCAAAATTAAAAAAAAAGAAAGAAAGAAAACTATTGCTTTCTGATAGATGTAATATGTTTCACTGGTGTGTTAATTTACATGTCACCAATTATGAGTCAGGTTGAATGTGAACAATATCCAGGGTGTTGGAGATGTGGGAAAATAACACTCAGAAACTTAGTAGGAGCATGGATGAGTACAATCACTTTGAAAAGCAATTTGGCAATATCTAGTTGGGTGAAGATGCTCAAACCCTAGGACACAGGAAATTTCATTTCCATATACTTACCTCTAGAGAGCCTCACACATGTGCACAAAAGTATATCTTTTTAGTATGTTCATTGCTGCAAAATGCTGGGAAGAACCTAAATGTCCACCAGTAGAGAAATGGATAAATAAAGTGTGGTAATTCATACAATTAAATATTTTGTATACAGCAGTTAAAATGCATGAATTAGATCCACATATATTGAAATGGCTAAGTCTCAAAAACACTGTTGAGTGTCAAATTCAAGTTGCAAAATTATATATACAGTCTATCAATTAAATCCATTTAAAAACATTAATACTCTATTTGGTTATGGATATTTATATACACACATATACATATATACACACACTTACATATATGTCTAAAGACATAGACAAGAAGTAAACACACCACTTTCTGGGTAATGCTTACCTCTGTGGAGGAAAAAAGGTAAATATGATTGGTGAGGAACTTCACCTGTGCCTAAAAAATTTTATTTATTGGAAAGAGAGAGAGAGAAGGGGGGAGGGAGAGGGAGGGAGGGAAGGGGAGGAAGGGAAAGAGAGAGAGACGGAGAGAGAGAGATCTGAAGCAAATATAGCCAAATGCTAAAACCTGTTCACTCTGTGTAGGTGAGTTCCTGTATTTTCCTGTAGCACTTTGTGTGGCATATTTTTTTTCTATTCCTATCCGTGTCACTGTGTTAAGCTATAAAACTGGCATGTAGCTTTATTTTTTTGGACCCATTCCCTCTGAGAGTTTCTATTTTCTCAAAGGTGATTTTAACTCATTCATCCCTACATTCGGTTTGGACTTAATCCTACCATTGTTTTGCATCTATACCACACTTTCTTATTGTTTCGTTCTTTCCTTCTTTCTTTTCTTCCTTCTTCATCTACTCGACCTTTTCCCCTGCAGCAGTTGGACAATCATACACTTTATTCCTACTATTAAAGTCACTACCCCTTTTTTTTTTTGCAACTGTTGAAGTCAGCATTTCCAGTGAAACTAAAGGTTTTGATGCAAATTCACGGGATCAGTTAAAAAGTCATTCAGTACCACTGCTTCAGAAAAAGCCAAAAAATTCCATTATACCATGTAAAATCAAAAGAAAAACTTTAATAAGCTTTTACGGCACTGCAATTACAGGAACATCGACCCATAACATGCAACAAAAATGATTTTGCCTTTTGGACATATTTAACAGATAAACCTGACATTACAAGTAACAGCAACACATTCTACTGAAGAAAACAAATGCGATTTATTTTAACTTTCAGGTTAGAAAATGTTCTTACTGCAATCTCAAGTAGTATTTGGAAAGTTGAGTTTTCCCTTTTCTAACCTCTAAAAGATGACATGATTTTTAATGCAATCATACACAAGTGTTTTCACATTGGAAATAATCACGAGGAATCAACAGGTTTAGGCTAACTGACTGATTGGTTTTGTTTCCATTGTTAATTTCAAGAGGGCTCCTGCGGTATTGTGGATTTCAGATGGGGAAAATAACCAGACCAGGAGTAAACAGCCTTGGTCTTTAGAGTGAGGGAGGGAACATGCAGCGGCACACGGGGCAGGTGCCTGACTTCTGAAGCCAGATGGACACACAGGGCTTGTGGAAATAGTGGTGACAAGGCAGCTCAGTTGCCACCTCCCCCTTCACATATTCGCTACAGCAGATGGGGCAGCACATCTCCTGACCAACTGCGCCATGATCTTCAGTGACCAAGATCTCAGGAAGAGTGTCAATGCTCTCCTTGCTTGCTGGTGGATTGGCCACCTCTACATCCACTGCAAGAGACTCTAAGTGCGCAAGGGCAGTTTCCATTGCCTGGGCCAGGCGTTCTTCAAGTGCCATGTAGGTGAGGAACTGAGGATCCACGTAGGATATGGCTTCAGCCACACCTAACCCATCTGCAAATCCATCGAAGAGGCTCCAATCCACTTCTAGGTCTTCACTCACACTGGAGTCATCTTCAAGGTTGTTGTTTCCATCCAGCATGAATACCCCAGGTTGCATCAACTCGTGACCAGAATCATTATCCCCCTCACTGCTACTCTCATTCTCATTGTACTGGAGCCAAGGAATTTCTCCTTCCTCCAGGGATGCCTGCTCTTCCTGAAGAGATGGTTCTCGAACTTCTTCAAGGTAATTGCTTCCATTGCTGCCAGCACTGGCCCCGGCACCAGCCCCGGCGCTGGCACTAGCACCAGGGCCAGGGCCGGGGCTGGCACTCACCCTAGCCTGCGGAGGTTCCCGCTCTTCTTTCCCCGGCAGAGTCTCCCAGCTTTCGCCACTGGAGGACAGGGTTTGCTCTCGGCTTCGATACTTCCTACGCAGAGCAGCAATCCACTCTTTGTCACTGTCAGAGTCTTCGTCACAGTATTTGTAGTAATCATCACTGTACGTCCAGAAGTCAGGGTCGGCCATGGTGCGTCGTCGTCTTGGCACCTTTTCTGGTTTCACTTGATCATTCCTGGCTTCCCGCTTGTCCTCAGGGTACTTTGGGTCGGAATAGCCACTTGAACTCTCGCCTCTGCCTCTTCTTGCCAGGCCATCCGAATGGCCTTCGTTGTTGGTGGTGGTATCCCTCCACCTCGAAGTACTGTGTGGCATATCATCATCATCATCAGTATCAAAAAAAATTTTTGGTTTCACGCAGTTTGGACTTGCCAGGTTTCTAATTTTGGGCCTGACCACAGGTTCCTCTACACTCTTTGGGGTGTTTTCCCCACCACCACAAATACTCACAGGAGCCCTGCTGGGACGTGCAGGTAAATTCTGCTCCCTCCTCTCCCTCTCCAAGCTGTCACCTTTTGGAGCTACCTTGCCTTCGGCAGAAGAAGACTGTGAGGCCACACTACTTTGTGGCAGGAAGTCAGCTCTGCTAGCTGAGCATCTTGCTGCAGGGACTGGGTCTAACTTGTCTTGCTTCTCTTTCACATCACGGCTAAAACTAGAGCACTGTGGAGATGGCCCAGCCAAAGACCTTGCCCCTTTCTCTGGGTCATACAGCTTATCCTCTTTAAACTTGCCAGTTTTCCCTCTCACTGGCGGTCGCTCAACAGGCCCAGCCCCCTCCTCCTCACTGTCATCTGCCCCATAAGAGTCAATATGTCCATAGGTCATTCCTCTTCTGCTACCCGAAGCCCTGTACTCTCTTGGTGGATACCTGGAATAGTCCTCATTATCAATATTCAGGGTGGTTCCCGAACTCTCACTGTCATCCCAAGTGCGACGAGTGGTGGAAAATGGCGATCGGCTCCTCTTGGTGGTTTGACTGGGGGCTGTTCTGTGCATTGGGACTTTGGAGTTCGTCTTTCTCTGGCTGGCAATCCTTTCCCGCTGGCTTGTGGATGGCCTGAAACTGACATAAGCATGCCTTCTTCCATACCTCCTACCTGTATTGGACTGATACCCTCCTGTTGGTTCGGGCCATACAGGCTTGCTAGATTCCTGACCCATCACTCTGACTTTGGAGGATTTCCAATACAGCTGGGGCTTGGGTAGGAAGGCTCCTGCTCCCAGCACACGTTTTTGAGATGGGAAAGTAAAATCACTTTAGAATAAAGGAGCAGGGAGATTTACTTTCACTTCAGCAGGCAGGTAACAGAAAGAATAAGGGGCCTTTAAAATTAGTTTCACTTTCTTCTAAGGCCTGGAGTAGCATTCCAGTGACTGTCAGGTGTAGACCTGGAACACATTTTTAATGTTGGCAAAATGATTACAAAAGTAGGTTTGCAGGAAAGCCAGACTTAGGGGAGAATCTGACAGAAGGTGGGGGGGTGACCGGATGCTTGGAAGGTGGGTGAAGTACTGTGGAATTGTGCCAATGTAGGGAGAGGAAAGACTGCTGTGGTTTTTTTATGGGGTGTCTGCGTTTTTCTGAGCACTGCAGACACACAGGAGAAATGCAAATTGGAATATAGTGGAAAATACAGATCACCGTGTGTGCATGAGTGCCTATGTGTCTGTCAAGAGGAGAGGGACAGGTGGAAGGGGTCCAGCAATCCTGCAACAGACGGATGTTTATGTTTGTAGGGGGAAAATGTATGAGTGTTAGCATGAGACCCATTCTGGGTGTGGGTATGAAAATGACAGGCATGGGTGGTGTGGCTTTGGAGGAGTGCGTGGATGTATGAGGAAAGGGAAGGTGTTTGTGTGTGTAGCTGTATGTGTGGCAGCTGCAACTACAGAAGGAAGCCTGTGTTTATGTGCATGTCATGGGCAGGGGAGCGTATGGTTGGCAATGGAGAGGAGTGTCCGAGTGTGTGTGTGTGTGTGTGTGTGTGTGTGTGTGTGTGTGAGTCAAAATGGGAGACAACAATGGAGAAATGTCAGTGTGAGCAAATGCAGCAGGCACAAATGGAAGCGGGGGCTGGGGGGCAGCACTGGAGAGAGATGTGCTTGAGATGGATGGAACAGAGGCCGACAATCAAAGAATGATGTCTGCCTCCTGTGTGGATATGGCAAGGAGGGCGGCAGGTGGTGTCCCCGTAGAAGGGTTCATGGGAGTGTGAGTGTGCGCACCTCGGGGACCAGCAAAGGAGAGCTGTGTCTGACACACGTGACAGAGGGAGCAGGAGAGGAGAGCATTTGAAAAGGGGGTGTGAATGAACACATGTGGCTGCATATGTATGTCACTGCCCAGCAATAGAAGGATGTCCGTATGTGTGTATATGACAGGCAGGGAGAAGGAGGGCGGCCGGAGGGGGCGTGTGCGCGCGCAGGCATGTGTTCATGAGAGCACGCAGAGGCTGAGCAGGGTAGGGGTCCGGTGCTAGAGGTGTGTATGTGGTAGCTGGGTAGAGGAGGGGGAAGGCACGGGAGGGTGTGAGAGTGTGAGGGTGTGTGAGAGGGTGTGTGCTGCGTGTGCCTGCGCATGCGTGGGGGTGGGACGCACTGGAACCTTGAGGATGGAGGGGCAAGGAGGGGGCTGCAATGGAAGGCTTCTGTACGCGCGCGTGTGCTCGCGACACAAGGAGGGGTGGGGGACACAATGTCATAATAAGAGGTGGGAAAAGGCTATCAGGTCAAACAGGAGACCCAAACCGATGTGGCAGGGGAGAGGGAAAATGAAAGAAAAGGGCGTGCGTGGGTCTACTTTTCCCTGAGAATAATTATTTTTTCATGACAAATGTTTTCCCTGGGGACGGTATTTTTACCTAAAAATCTTTACCATTTACCATTGACAAAACAGCAAAATATGGGAAGAAAGGCCACTGAGTGCTCCGCAAAGGGGTTGAGGAGGGAAGAAGGAAGGACAGGGGAGGAGAGGCAGGGAGAAGTGGGAGAGGGCCGCGACCACCGCTGCCCTCCCAATAGCGATGAAAGCCACTCGAGTGGGGACCGCGTCACACGCAAGGGGTTCTGGCAGAGGAGGATGCAGCCCCAGAACAGGCCGACGGAGGACATGGGCCTCACTCTGCAGTCAGGTCCCGCGTCCACCCCACCCCTTCCCGAGGGGTGAACCTGAAAAGCAGTTCCCAGGAACCCCCCAAAATCCTCGCCCCCGTGCCTGGCCACTAGCCCCAAGCCCGGCCACTCGCGCCACCGCCAGCTCACCGATGAATCAAGGAAACAATCAGCCTTTCACTCACCAAGTCCAGAAAGCCACACGCTCTCCGGAGAAGCAGAGCTCTCAGACCTCCGACCGCCACGACCGCCAGAGCCGCTGCTCCCGGTGTTGAGCTCCTCCCCCGCCAGACAGCAGCGGGGCGGGCGGCGACTGCAGCGGCGGAAGTGATTGTGAAGTCAGCTGGAGCCCGCCCCCTTGATGTGGCGGGGGCGGCAGCTGCTCTCCACAAATCAGGGTGGGCCTGAAAGCATTATTTCATCTTAAATGATGAAATCGTCAAGGATACAGAAAAGGACAGCGAAAAATGTCACCATCACCCAGCTTTAACAAATGTTAAACATTTAGCTTAATTCCCTTCTGGATTTTTTAATAAAATGAAATTTGCAGATTCTTTCTGATTAAGTCCAACGTGAGAGTAATTACTTTACTACATCACATCCTACGTTATGTGTTATGGTTGTACTGAAAGTATTAAAACTGAGAAACTATATTTAGGGTTGCAGTAGACTTAAATTTTTTTTAACCTGATGGTTGAAGCAAATTGAAGCTGTTTAGTGTTGAATTTGTTGCTGCTCATCACAAAACCAAGCTTCTCTTTCAAAGAGATCATAAGACACAACATAGGTATTGCACTGAAGTTTAAAAACATTACAGTTATGCCTTTTGGATTTACACAATTTTACTGAATGCTAAAGTCTTTAAATTGCACTTTATAATGAAACTCTAGTATTTCTAGTATTTACAGCCAATGTAAACACTTCCTATGTTTACGACAGTAGCAAAGTTTTGTTCTTACTGGAAACAAAATGCATTATAGAACAAAAATTTTAGGGGTCACAACATAATAGAAATAGAATGTATAACTTTCAAACCATTAAAGTAATAATATGTGGAACAAAGAGAAAAACTCAATCTTAACAAAGGGCAAGAAACGTTGCTGGGGGGGATGCAAAAAGAATACAAAAATGCAGAAATAAGCCTGAATAGATCAACATGCATTATGGGTTAACATCTGCTAATAAAAGCCAAACTCTTATTTTGAGCATTTTGTTTTTAAAAGTCCAGTTATATACTATTTGTGTGAGTTTCACCTAAAGCAGAAATAGGAATGAAAAATACATGACAGTAAAATACTAGCAGAAAAGACGGAAGGGAGGGAGGAAAGGAGGGGAAGGAAAGAAGCAAAAATACTAAAGGAAAGAGGAAAGAGACTCATAACAATATCAATATCCTAAAAATCAAGAACTCAAAGTAAAAAGCACTAAAGAGAACAAAACAAGTTGTTTTATTCACTGAGAAAGACATGACAAGCTGGTGGTGTATGTCTGTAGTCCCAACTACTTGGGAGGCAGAGGCAGGAGGATTGTATGAGTCCAGGAGGTTGAGGCTGAAGTGAGTGGAGATCACACCACTGCACTGCAGCCTGGACAACCAAGCAAGATGCTGTCTCAAGAAAAACTAATAATAATTATAGAATTTCATTAGTGAGAAATATGGAACTATCAAATTTTTAATGGAGATTTTCATCTACCAATTCTACTTCTAATCAATTGGTCTATTGTGTGTTCTATTCAGACACACAAGTGGAGAAAGATATGTGAATAGGAGTGTAGCAAGATAATGCCAACAACTTTAATTCTCCTCGACAAATAAATTGCTCAAATTTATTTAAACATGTTGCAAGGTGGTTCATGTACAGACTTGGTGACTCACACCTGTAATCACAGCACTCTGGGAGACCAAGGCAGGAGGATTGCTTGAGCCCAGGAGTTCGAGACCAGCCTGGACAACACGGTGAAACCCCATCTCTACGAAAAATGTAAAAATGTCCTGGGTGAACTGGCACATGCCTGTAGTCCCAGGTACTTGGGAGGCTGAAAGGGGATAATCACTTGAGCCCAGGAGGTTGAGGCTGCAGTGAGCCAAGACTGTGCCACTGCAATGCAGCCTGGGCAGTAGAGTCAGATCTTGTCAGAAAGAAAAGAAAGAAGGAAGGAAGGAAGGAAGGAAGGAAGGAAGGAAGGAGGGAAGGAGGGAGGGAGGGAGGGAGGGAGGGAGGGAAGGAAGGAAGAGAAAGAAAAAGAAAATATATACTAGTCTAATACAAATACATTAAGTGAAAAAACCATGTTGCAGAACAGTGCATTTAAAAAAAAAAAGATATAACAGTCACAAAACTGTATGTGCCAAACAATGTAGTTTCAAAATATATAAATTAAATACTGTTAGAAATAATAAAGAGAGATCAGGAAGTCTGCAATTATACTGGGAAACTTCACTTCATTTCTTATGGTATAGATAAATCAAATAGACTGCAAAATAATGATATGAGGAGATGAGACAACACAATATACAGAATGCATGTGTATTTTTGTTTCTGGTTTTTTTGAGACGGAGTCTCACTCTGTCACCCAGGCTGGAGTACAGTGGGGCAATCTTGGTTGACCGCAACCTCCACCTCCCAAGTTCAAGTGATTCTCCTGCCTCAGCCTCCTGAGTTGCTGAGACTGTAGGTGCGCACCACCACACCCAGCTAGTTTTTGTATTTTTCAGTAGAGGCGGGGTCTCGCCATGTTGATCAGGCTAGGCTTGAACTCCTGTCCTCAAGCGTTCTACCTGTGTCAGCCACCCAAAGTGCTGGGATTACAGGCATGAGCCACCACGCCCAGCTTGTATATGTATTTTTGGACTCAGAAGAGGATACATTTTCTTTCATAAAAATATTTTTAATTATGTCAATTGTACAGAAAAGTAGAGTATAAAAAACACATTTGAATGCACCTGTCACATGGATTGAGCACATTTTATTTTCTCTAGATCCTCAAATCCTTCTGTTTTTAAAACAAAATAGTACAGTTAAAGCCCTCATTTCATCCTATTCACTTGACCTCTTTCTTAAAAATAAACCTTATTTGGAAGTTGATGTGCTTTCGTCTTGTTCATGTTTGTGTATATATATATATATATTCATGTATTTAAATTATGCAGATGGTATCATTATAAATGTATACTTCTGAAACTTTGATTTTCACTCTATTGTTTTTGAAACTCAGCAATTTTCATACCTGTAGATCTAAGTCATGCATTTTAACTGCTGAATATTAGTGGATCAATTATCTGATATATTACTGTAGCGTATTATTGTATGGACTTCTTTTGCATAAGCTATCCAATTTATCTCTTTTTTACTGTTTCTGTTTTGTGCAATTATAAGTGAAGATTCAATGAATAGCCTAGTGCATGTCCTTGTGCCTACATAGAAGAGTCTCTTCAGGGTAGAGTTTCCCAACTGAGTTATAAGTGTTCTGATATATTGATCCCCTTAGCCCTCCCTCCAGGAATGTAGATTTAGCTTCACCCAGTGGCTGCCCCTAGGTACTGTTGCCTCTGGCCAAGGGCACACTTGTCCGTTTACCCCAGTGAGCTGATACAATATTAGCATTTTAAATATATGTTCTGATGTGAAAAGGATTGAAATAAATTGCTCTAGTATAAGAACATTGAAATAGAATTTCTTGGTGAAAGGGTATGTAGTAGCTATCTACTGCTGTATAACAAATTTCCCTAGAACATAGCAGGTAGCAACAAACATTTACCATATGACAGTTTCTATGGGTCTGGAATCCAAACATGGCTTAGTTAGGTGCCTCTGACACAAAGTTTCTTAGGAGATTGCACCAAAGCTCTCATTTAGGGTTGCAGTCTCATTTGAAGGCTCAAGTAGGGTAAGAGGCCCAGAGGCCCACTTTTACGCTCTTTTACATTGTTGTTGATGGGACAAAGAAGAACCATTTCTTTTTTTTTTATTTTACTTTAGGTACATACTTTATCCAGCATTTCTCCCCATGTTATCCCTCCCCACCCTCCCCACTCCCTGCTGTCCCTCCCCTACCTCCCCCAACTGCCCCCAGTGTGTGATGCTCCTCTCCCTGAGTCCATGTGTTCTCATTGTTCAAACCATTTCTAAGCTAACTCATGTGGCTGTTGTCATTGTGGTCTGAGAGCATACTTTATATAATGTCTATTTTTTAAAATTTGTTGAGGTATGTTTCAAGGCCCAGGATGTATTCTATCTTGGCAAATGTTCAATGTGAGCTTTAAAAGAATGTGTATTCTGCTTTTGTTGGATGAAGTTGTCTATAAATGTCAATTAGATCCAGTTGACTGATGGTGCTATTTAGTTCAACTATATCCTTACTGATTTTCTGCCTGCTGGATCTGTCAATTACTAATAGAGTGGTGTTGAAGTCTCCAACTATAATTGTGGATTCATCTATTTATTCTTGAAGTCCTATCAGTTTTTGACTCATCTTTTGATACTCTGTTGTTAGGCACACACACATTAAGGATTGGTACGTCTTCTTGGAGAACTGACTCTTTTTTCATTACATAAAATTCCTGTTTATCCTTGATAATTTTCCTTGTTCTGAAATCTGCCGTGTCTGAAATTAATATAGCTACTCTGGCTTTCTTTTGATTAGTATTAGTATTAGTCCAGGCTGGACTACAGTGGCGTGATTTCAGCTTACCGTAACCTCCAACTCCCAGGTTCAAGTGATTATCCTGCCTCAGCCTCCTGAGTAGCTGGGACTTCAGGTGCCCACTACCACACTCAGCTACTTTTTTGTACTTTTTAAAGTAAAGACAGGGTTTCCCCATGTTGGTCAAGCTGGTCTCAAACTCCTGACCTCAGCTGATCCACCCACCTTGGCCTCCAAAAGTGCTGGGATTACAGGTGTAAGCCACTGCACCCAGCCTTTTTTTTCTTCTTTTTTCTTTTTCTTTTTTTTTGAGATAGGGTCTCACTCTGTCACTCAGACTGGAATGCAGCGGTGTGATGTCAGCTCACTGCAGCCTTGTCTCCCAGGCTCAAGTAATCCTCCCACCTCAGCTTCCTGAGTAGCTGGGACTACAGGCACACACCACCATGCTCGGCTAACTATTTAACTCTTTTGTAGAGATGAGGCCTCCCTAAATTGCCCAGGCTAGTCTGGAACTCCTGGGCTCAAGCGATCCTCCCACCTCACCTCCCAAAGTGCTGGGATTACAGGCATGATCCACTGCACCCAGCTTCTCTGATTTTAATTAAGCATTTTATATGTTCCATTTTCTCTCCTCTCTTAGCATATTAATTTTACTTTTTATTTTTACTTTTTTAGTGATTACAC